CATGCAGCATAAAAATCATTTATTTCAGATTATATTGATTAAAATTTATAACTTGACGTAATTATGTCTTATAAAGAAAAAATTATATTTGATCTAATTGATAAAAAATTGAATTTCTATTAAATGATTGTATAAACAATGATTAATGATCAAATTTGTGTTTTGCATAATAAAGTCTATAATCTATGTTAAAATTTATATGAGAAAAATTGTTAGCATTAGCATATAAACTTAAATCATGTTTTAAACTTCATAGAATTTTTGCTTTTTTTATGATGAATTTTTTTGTGTGATTATTGAAAAAATTTTTTAAAACTGGTGAAGCCAAATATTATTATATGATGATCTAAATTATTATTGATTGAATTGAATTTATATTTTATTTTATTATTAAATAAATTCTATCAATTTTCATCTACAAAAATTTAATTTATTTAGACTTAATTTTAATCTTTAATAAAATTTTTGTAAAATAATTATTTTTGAAAAAATACATATAAAATTAATAAGACATTTAATACATAAAAAATACAAATGAGCTTTTAACTCCAATAAATTTGTGTTTCATAATTACTAACAAATCTATTAATTAAAATATCACATTTGCTTCATTTTTATAAGAAACCTCTTAAGATTAGGTTTACATATATTTGTTGATGGGATTAGTTTAAGATGTACTTTACTTAGAATTTACTTACTTTAATTGATTAGATTTGAAAGTGATATTGAGGTTTTATGTAAATAACAAGAAAATTGAAGATTTGTAAATAGCAACAATATACCCTAATTTTGTTTGATTTATATCAAATAAGATAAAATATTCAAAGATTAATTAAAATATTTTTAATTTTACCAAAAGCTTAATATAATATACAAACTTAGCTCTTTCTTAATTTTGTTCATACCGAATGTGAGTTGGTTATAACAAAAATAAAATTGCAAATTACTAATATTTTATAATAAATGTTTTTAAAATAGCTGAACCTGAATAAACTTAGGTAGAATTCTATAACTAACTCAAAATTTAATGATAAAAGTTAATATTTAGTTGATCAAACGAATAAGGCAGGAGTTTAAAATATAAATGCAATTGATTTTAATAATGAAAAAATTCCAGAGAACATGAAAATTAAAGTTGCAATTCTACTAATAAAAAGTTAGGCATTATTAATAATATTATGCCAATCTAAACATTAAAATAGTAAACTGTTGTAAACTATAATTAGTAATTTTTTTTGGCAGATAACACTCCTATTGAGCATTAAGAATAAGTTTTTGCTGCATCAAATAAAATTGATGATATATTAGTTAGAATAAAAAATATGAAGAAAACTACAATTTAGAGTGAAGCATATTTAACTAAAGCATGTTAGAATACTCAATAAACTATTCAAAGTCTTTTGCTTAGTTTTGATTTTAATTTTTGAGTATTTACACAAAAAATGCTGTGATTATTTAGAGAACATACAGAAATATAAAACGTCTATTAAAATATTGTACTAAAATAGGAATAAAAGATCAATAGTACCCATTTCAATAACAAACGACAGTCAAAGAAACAATTAAGAACATATAGAAAATATAATTGTTTATTACTAACCTTAGGAAGAGGTTTTAAAAATTAACTAAAAATAGGAAGTAGTTGCTACAGTAGATTATTGATGATTAAAAAGATAATTAAGTGATTACTAAGCCAGAATAAATTAGATCATTTATAGAATTGGGTATTTTAATTATAAGGAACATCTAAAATAAGAGAGTTAAACAATTCTCCATTTTTGGAACCCTATTTTTTACATTTTCATTATAAATTAATTTCAATTTAAAATAATTAATCAATCATTAAAATTGGATTCCTTGCTGTACAAGATGACTCTGTATATATAGGATAATGGAAATTTGGTATAGTTAGTATAACATATATTTGTAATAGACATGGTAAAGGGAGGGCCATATTTAAGGGTAAGAGTGTATATGAAGGATTTTTTAAAAATGACTAGAAAATGGAAATTATTATGAAGGCAAGTTTAAGGAGAACAAGGCTCAAAAAGTATGGAAAATAAATTACATCCAAAGGGTATATTTATGAGGCAATTTGGTTAAATAATAAATATAATAAGGTGAGGGATTTGAGAAATTCCCTAATGGTACTAATTTTAAGGGAAAATTTAAGAATTAAAAAAGGATTTGGTGAATTTAATTTTTCAGATAGATCTAAGTATAATGTATAAAGTATAAAGTATCTATTGATAATAATAAATTTAATGGAAAGGAACATAGAGGAGAATCAAATGGATGGTTATAGAATTTTCGCATGGACTGATGGATATGTAATTTATAAAATATATTAAAATTATGTCAATCACAAAAAACATGGTTTTGTAGATTTTAATTATTCAGATGGATTTATATACAAAGAAAATCAGATAGATGGTAAAGAACATAGTCAAGGAACATTTTATTCTAAAAGTGGTTTATATAAAGAGAGGGGAATGAAACACTTTATTTATAAGAAAATATCCTTATTCTATATTTTGCAAACTTTAATGGTATTATAATTTAAATATTTCAATAACTTATTTTACTTAACTATTTTCATTTTATATATCTGTTCAGTTAATGAAAATATCTTTTCCTATCTAAATTAAAACCTTGATTAAATTTAAATTTTTAAATTCTATACCTAAATCGTAAATTATAGAATATTAGCTTCTTAAATTTAAAAAGGAAACTATTATTCTTATAATTTTGTAGCTCTTCATTATACGAGATTAAATATTTTTCAATTCTAATAATTAATGCATATTAACAAATACATAATAAGATTTTCTTTAATCATATTCATTTTTTGTAGGAAACAAAAGGTAATTCATATTCAAATATGTTTTATTTAATTAATTGTAATCAAGCAAATAGAGCAAAAGAAATAGTATATTGACTTGCTTTTTTAAATTATCAACTTACAAAAATTGAGCAGTATCTTTTGCATAATCATAAAATTCATTTAAGTCCATTAAGAAGCAGTTGATCTTATTAAGAAAGGGCTAGTAGCTCTTAATTATGTTCAAATATTTGATCAATAGTTGATCAAATATTTGATCAATAGTTGAAGAGAAATTATTGGAAATTACAATAAATAATTATACTTAAGCAATTTTGCTTATTTTGAAAATAGTTAAACATTTATTTACTTATATACTTAATTAATGAATTAAAAATCAATGGAATATTGCCAATGATGCTTTTATAACTGTCAGTGATACATCTGCAATAAATATAAATAATTTTACTTTTAAACAAAATATACTTATAAATGGGTAAGAAGTTCTAACAAATATTTCTACTAAAGTAGACTAGTTTACATCGCAATTATGGTTAAGGAATAATAAATATCAAGACATTACTTTGGAGAGGAATAGATTAGAAATACCTAAAACAAGATACTAGTTGTGCTAGTTGAATTAGATTTTGCATAAGATGAAATTAGTTTGTGAATAAGGGTTGGGTTTGGGTTTGGGTTTGGTAA